CCCCGCTCCCCATTGTTCTCTGCCGCTGCGGCGGCGCTGCCGCCCGCGCTGGTGTTACAGTCCCCGCTGCCAGGCATTCTCGCCATATTGCCGTCTCCCTGCCAGTCCTCGGGCAGGGCGCATGCGCTATATTGGACCGCAGCGCTGAGAGCTTTTGTGTTTAATGACCTTCAGCTACCGGGAGGCAAAGCCGGGCTCTTAAAGGAGCCGCGCTCCAATTGTCATTCCGGAGCGCTACTCGGGAGGGGCGAGGAGATGCCAGGGAGACGAAGTGGGGGGTAACTGTGGCCAAGAGAGGGTAAAAGAGGGAGGCCACCCGGACCTTCTTACTCCCCCAGCCCAATCCCCACTTCTAGGAAAACTTTGGGGGAAAAAAATAAGAAAGGGAGGGAGAGCTGTCGGTGGGGGCGAAACACTCCCAACTTACCCTCCAGTAGAGCCGGCGCGCGGGCCCGGGCGGGCACGAGGGAGGGCCGACGGCAGGGCGGGGCGGTGTCGCTTCTCTAGGTAATGCCGGAGGAGCAGTGCCCCCTCCACCGCCCCCTCATTGCCCCCCGGAGTCGGGGGATCCCGGCAGCTGCGGCAGTGTGCTGGCCGCGGGTGCTGCTGCTAGAAGCCCGTGTCCGGACCGCCCGGAGCAGGCAGGTTAATGAGCTGGGTGGAGGAGGCTCCGCGAGGCCCTGCACCCTCTCTGTGCCCGCGGCCAGGGCGCAGCGGGCGAGGCTTGGGAGCGGGATGGGGCTGGCGGCAGCGGCGGCTCCCCCACCTACTTGCTGGCGGCGAGGCGCAGGGGCCTGGGGCCAGCAGCGCGGCTCCCAGCTCCCATCCCGACTCTTGCTAAGGAGCGGAACACGCCCCACGTCAGCCTCATCTGTTTAGACTTTTCCAACTGCCACTTTTAAGCTGTCATTAAAGACCTGGGGCGCTCCCCAAAGGTCTGGGGCAAGTCCGCGCCGGTCTAGCCAGCCCCGGGAAAGTGCAAGAAGAAAAGACTGGGAGGTGTTGGTGGGAGGGAAGACGTGGGAAGAGGAGTTTTCCGGGACCCCAGGGACCCACTCGCCACCCATTCCGGACACTGTCCTTCCTGCCCCAGAGCAAAATGACACAACACCCCGGGGCAAGGGGTGCCAGGTTGGCACTAAAGCAGCACGGATCCCTAAAGGACGAGCGGGAGAGCGAGCTGTTGGAAAAAGTGAACTTGGACTTTGGGTCGACCCCACTCTCCCACAATTCTGGCAATTCCGATCTTCGGGCGTTCTCATTTTTAAGTTCGCCAACCGCCCTGCATTCGCCCCCCGGGCTGCGTTGCCTCCGGCGCATGGGGGCGTGCACCTCGGAAACTGGAAAGACAGCCAAAGAGCTCGCCGGGTCCCTCTTTCCCAAAGGAGATACAGCCCCACTTCCAGCCAAACTCCCGCCCCCGATGCACCTAGGCTCTGGGCATGTCTTCTCGGTCCCCACCTCCCATTCTCGTTCTCTCCTCGTGGTGGTGGGGAACAGCACCCTACTGCCACTCTTTAGCTGTTCTTTGGTGGCAATAGCCAGAGTAGTCTCCAGAGATGAGCTTCATCCTAACTTCATCCTAACTATTTGGGAAGCCCAAGTGTCCCCAGGTTCTCTCCAGCGATGTCTGAAACTCAAGACCATAAAGAACCAAGGGAGCCAGATCCCAGTAGAGTACCCATGTGCCAGGCCGAACCTCCTGGAGGCAGCCTCACTGGGTCCTTGCGTGTGTCATTGGAATTTGCCTCTAAGTCTCAATTCAGCTATGGGGAATCTGTCTCAACTATTTGTTCTCTCTTTCCCTATTGCCTATCTTTTTTTTTCAGGGCGTTTATCATTTTGTGCCTCAATAGAAACCATCCATCAAATTTTAATTTACAAGGAATATTAAGTAAGAAGAAAGAAAGGTTAAGTCCGGGCCGCGTGGGCATCTAAGGAGGGAGGTGACCGTAGCTTTTCTGCAGCCATCTTTCGTCGCCCTGCTAGAGCCTCCTTAGCCATGGACACCACAGAGCGTTGGGGAAGTCATGCCAGGTGTGAAACAAGTTGTAACAAGTCCCTGTCTCTCGGGTTTCCTCCAGCTCCTTGGGGAAATACACACACACACACACACACACACACACACACACACACGCACACACACGCCCACGCGCACTCTCATCACAGGCAGCCTGTGTCCAAGGAGTCGAGGATCTTTGGGATGGACTTCTGGGGAATCCTTCCCCAGGTGGTAGTAGAGATGTGGTCGGATTTGTCACCGCGTTCTTTTCTCTGTCTTAGCCACTGGAAATGTGTAGCGAGATGTATTAGCTTCCTAGAGCTTTAAGCAGTGGGCAACTAAATTCATGGCTCCGGAGCTCAGCTTATGAGTGGCACTTGACCGCCACTTCCGGAGAGCGAGCCTTTGATCCCAGGATGCTGCCAGGTTTTGGATTCTCTGAGACTTGTTGCAGTGCTGAAAACTCAGTTGGGCAAGTCACTTAACTACCTTGACTTCTAAAAGCACCACGAAATGAGGGTCCACCCTAGCTCCGATCTCTGCCTGAGGATCCAGCTCCAAGCTGGGGCCCACGGGGGGCGGGGAATAGTTCTTCAGGTCTTCTCCGCCCCCCCCCCCCCCACTTTTGCAGCAGACCGGCTAGGCTACAACCACTCCCCAGCCCGCACCCACGCAGACACCGGCTCCACTCTCCTCTGGGGGAGCTGCTTCCAATTGCTAGCAGTTTGCCGGAGGCAGTATGCTGGATTGGACGCTCCGGGAAACAAAGCAACCAAAAACAGCTTCCAGTTGACGTCAACGTATTTCCAGAAAAGAAAATAGTTTTGTGTTCCCAGGACAAAATACCCCCCAGGGCAAGTCCCTACTGGCAAAGGCCAGGCGATGGAGGTGGGGAATGGCAGAGCTGATGAGGAGGAAATGCCACCCAGGCACGAATAACTTTTTAACGGACTAGGAGAAACAGCAGTTTCGGGAACTGCCTCGACCTTATGCGAACGACGAGCAGAACCCGAACTTAAACTAGGGATGAAAAACGCACCTTGGAAAGTATGCTTTGGACTGATTGTCACAGGACTGTTCGTTTCCTCGCATCGCATCAGCTTCGGCCTGGCTACCAAAATTTAATACCTATAGGAATACTTCATCAAATGCTGAAAAGCTCTCGTCAGGGTGGTAACCAACATAGTTACCAGGCAGAACGGCCAAACAAAACAAACAAGGAGAAATATGGGATCTTTCCCCACTGTTTCCATCAAAGGAAACAAAGATAAGGGAGGAGAGTTGCTTAGTTTTTAAAACCCAATAACGTGAAACTGTAGTTGAACTCATAAAAGAGTTCAATTCCAGGTTTATTAAATAACCTTTTACATAATGTGGTTCCATAAACTCAATCTGAAATCGAAAAAATTAAAAAATGCTCTATGATTTTTGTAGAGGCAATATTTCTTGTTTAGCCTGTCTGTTTTCCAAGCTCCACCTGACTTCACATCAGGAAGTCTATTCTGTTCACCACTTAAAACTGCAAGATGTGCTTTCTCTGGTACAAACAGCAATCCTGTTCAATGTGGACCTTTGGCTACTGTCATTCAACTGCTAGATTCATAAACCACCTGAAGATCTGTGCAGCTTGCGCAAGAAGCCTTGACCACATGAGCCGTCTCTGCCAACATTACCAGAAAGTACCACGCATGTCTCTGTGTTTCCCGTCTCAGAAAGTAGAGGCAAGGTTATTTGGGGGCGGAAATCCTCCACACACAGCCCCTACATTTACACACACCTGATCTATAAACCTTGGATTCCCATTTTAGATTCTCATAATTTTGTTGTCAATATCAGTTAGCAGGGTATTCTAAGAAAACCACTAGGCAACCTCTTCCAAATGCCACCAAAGTGTTCCACAACTCAGATACCAGGTCGTCTTGAGGTTCATCTGATAGGAACTTTTCTCAGTGCCTTTGAGCTTAAAGTCTCAGTACTCATTGACTGCTTTGGGCTAATGTGTCGTCCATCACCAGGGTTTTTCTCTGGTGGAACAATTGTAATTTGCTGCAGCAGTAGAGGAAGGGGCCACCTCCCCTGACCCAGCGGAGCCAGCTATTGTGGACTCTTTAAAGAGAGGTCTCAGGAATGGAGGTGTCTGTGTGTTATGAGAGGTGAGTTGGAGAGGAATTACATTGTAAACCCTCAGGATTTTGTGGGCTCTTGGGCAGAGGCCAGAAAAGGCATTTAGTTAATCACTTTAAAAAAACAAATCAAAAGAGAAAACCATGCTCTCTTGATTCGATTACTTAAAGATTCATAAAGTGCTTTTGAGGCTAAATATGAATTCAAATTGAAGCTATTTTGACATGTCTTTTTAAAAATTTTACTATTAATTCTGTTGCATGCAAGTGAAGATCGTCTTGAGTAATGCTTTTTGAACTCAGATGAAATTCGAGCTCCTATAATCTAACTCTAAAAGTGGAACAGAAATGACTCTGAAAGAGCAAACATGGCTTAGGACTGTGGCCCCATTTATTTTCCCCAAGTGTTTTAGCAAGGTGCCTGGCATATAGTAAACACAGCAACTGACCATGCTCTCACGTGCAGGGGGAGAGTGGACACTGACTGCAGGGTGCTGTGTAACTGAATCCAGATTGTTGGGGGATGGACCCTACTTCACCTTCCCAGGTGCTTGTTTGTTTGTCTGTTTTTTGAGACAGGGTTTCTCAGTAGCTTTAGAGCCTGTCCAAGTCTTTTTTTTTTTTTTTCCTTTGTCTTACTCTCCCTGTTCTGTGTTCTGGGACACAACTTTTGATTGTTTTTTTGAAAATTAAATATGTTAGTATGTGTTCAAGCATTTAACATGGTTTCTGAAACAAGGGTACACATTTAACCATTGGTCATTTTGTTTCTGTTGTTGTCATTTTGAGTTTTGAGACAGGGACTCATGACGTAGCACAGGTTGGCCCCAAATTCAAGATCCTCTTGCTTCATTCAGCCTCCCAAATTCTGGAATGACTGAGCCACACAAGGCCGGACCATTAGCTCTTGGCTATTAAAACTCAAAGATTTCTTTATACAGAAGAAAACCAAGGCCGAACAGTTTTTAAGGGTTCTGTTGTAGGCTGTGGTGTGAAAGAACACCAGCTTAGCAGGAAAGAGGCCTTCAGTTTGATTCCCAGCACTGCAGAAACATTTAAAATAAAAGCTAAACCATGTGACCCAGGTCTTCCAGACCTCACTAGGTAGGCAGACTGGTTCCAAAGCACATGGCCAAACTTCTTGACCACTTTCAGCCTCTCTCTCTCTCTCTCTCTCTCTCTCTCTCTCTCTCTCTCTCCCTCTCTCCACACACACATTCTCTCTCTCTCTTTCTCTCTTTCTCTCTCTCTCTCTCTTTCTCTCTCTCTCTCTCTCTCTCTCTCTCTCACACACACACACACACACACACACACACACATACTGCTCACTCTTAAGGAAATAATTCTCTGCCACTCAAATTTCTGTGCCTTTGACTTGGGGATTTGGAAGGCAGGAGGCTGCTAGGCCAAGGTCCTGGACTTTGAGTATGGTATAAACAAGCTAAGACACGGCATAATCTTTGCCAGACATTGGTTCTATTTTTCTAGTTTATTGGAAGTAAAGACACTTTTGTGCTTTAGAGGAGTTTGGAGACAAAAGGAATGCTTATGTACACAGCCAGATTAGCCTGTTAAACACTCTACTTAAGTCCTCGGCTCTTCAGTGAGCATCTTGGGGGGCAAGGTAGAATATTGCATATTTTTGTCTTTCATACTGTGCCAGAGAACAGGTCACGGTAAAGTTAACATAGTGACTGACAGAAGTAGAATGTTTAGATTCTAATTACCACCAGGTGACTACAATTCTGGACCAGTTTCCTAGGTATTTTTAAATGAATAACGTACAAGAGGAATATAGTTTTCTGTAAGCAAAGCGTGTGTCTGTGGAATCTGAAAACATGTCGTCTCCCTTTAGTATAATATCCTGATAATGGAATGTCATTTGGCCAATAAAGAATTCCAGTGTAAAGATCGTCAAATGTACGATTAACAAGGAGAGTCATTTCCTTCTCTTCTAGCCATGTATCTTTGGAGTCCACAGAAGCATCCATCAGTACTGTTATTAAGTAATATATATTTTCATTTCATCACAATACTAATTAAAGTGGAAGAAGAGCTAATTATATTCATTAATGTCATGTAATAAATGTTTTTGAGTAATAAGGTTATTTATAATCGTCTCAGTATATAAAAATATTTCTGGAACTGTTTGCTATATTCAAATAGCTTATTGAACTAGTGAGATCAAAACAAAATGAAGAACAAAATTAAAAGTATTTTATTTCCAATGTTGATATAAAACTTTTTTCATTTTTTTTGTCAATCATTATCAAGGAAGGACAGCTTCTTAAGGAAGGTGACCACAGTCATGAAAATGTTCACAGTCTTTGGTCGAGAAATCACTTCCAGAAAGCCATTTTCTTAAGAAATATCTTGTTTTATTTCTGTTTAGTTTTGTTTGGTTCATTGTGTTTAGGCCATTTGGACAAAATAATTCTGAAATTTGTGTTCAACGCATATTCCACAATGGTATCTTATAATTTCTCAGAGGCATGACTTCATTGACAAAAATTCACAAAGCATTCCTAAATGAAGAAGGAAACATCCTTTCTCAGTAGCGTTGTTGGGCACCTCTTAGTGACTATGGATAGTGAAACTGAAGATAAAGGATATTAAATAAAAGGGCTAAATATTAATGATCCATTCAAAGCTCTGAGATAGTTTAAGGTCCAGCACTGAGGCTCCAGATATCAGAAACTGGTCAAGGTGTTTGGTGGATTCTCACAGGATGTGAGGTGGAGTTTGGTATGTACCTGCCCTGTGGCTGTGTTTCTAATGAACTAAAAAAGAAAAAAAAATCCCTTTTAAATACCCAGAAGCACTAACCCACATTTTGAACTAATTGACTTACTTTTTCTTAGAAAAGCTTAATTTAACTGATAGGGGCACATGGGTTTTTCTGAATATTTAAAGAAGCCTTGGGATGAGTTTGTTCCATTTCTTCAACTTAATGCTGGGGATGCTTCTAGCCTGCCAGCGAGAGCTGTGGTAGAGAGGGGCAGGGAACCCAGAAGCTCTGTATCCAGCTCCCCCATCCTGTGAGCCACATGGCGGAGATGGGACAACATTCCTACTGGTGGAAGAGTCTCGGCTCTACATTGTTACTCTGTCTAAGTCTGTCCTCTGACTGACCCGTCCCAGGATCACATGAGACTCCCGGAATAAAACCAGCCTCCTCTAATACTGAGAGCCATTTCGCTGTCATTTCTCTCTTCCGTTCCTTCCCTGAAGTTAAAAAACGCACAAAGAGACTGGGGTTTAGCATTCTTTTCTGACTATAAGAGAAAATTAGCAATTCTATAAAAATCTAACTTGGGTAGGTGGTGTGTGTGTGTGTGTGTGCGTGTCAGTGTGTGTGTGTGTGCGTGCGCGTATGGTTCCAGGTTCATACTTAGGGAGCGTTTGCTGGGGGTCCAAGCTTGGAACACTAATTTTTTTCTTACAGGTACATGTGAAGCTGGTTCCTGTGTCATGCATGAGTGGAAACCCAGAGGGCTTAAATAGCTCCTCCTATGTCTCTCTAGCCAGTCAGTCCTACTTCAGAGCACACACTTTCTGAACGATTCTCTAGGCCGGTCTCTGATTATTTTTCTATTTTTATGGGAAAAAAAAATCTGTATTCCCGTATATTCTCACAGATTCAACTGCATAGAGTTTACTGTTTAAGTTCTAAGTATTTAATATTTCAACATTCAGAAGCCAAAATATGTCATCAATAGAGGCGATGGTCTCAATGAATCCTACAAATTTTATGTGCTAGAGACGTAATCCCTAAAGTGATAAAATCAATGACACTTGAGAGGTGAGACCTGTAGGAGAATACTGGGTCACAAGGGCCTGGGCCTCATGGCTCTATTAATGCACTCAGGGATTAATGGCTTAATGGGTAATGGAGGGAGTGGCTTTGCCATAAAAGCCGGCTCTCTCTGGCACAGTTGCGCTGTCTTGCGTCAGATACCCTGTGCTGCGCAGGCTTCGGCATCATCCGTACCTGCACGAAAGGTTCTCACTAGATTTTGTCCTTTTCATTGATCTTAAACTTTCCAACTTCCAGAACTGTAGGAAATAAATCTCTTTCCTTCGTACATGGCCTGTTCTGTGAGGTTCTATGATGATGGATTTTTGGTACCATCTGCCAAGCACATGGTCGAGCAGGTAGGAAGGGGCCATGATCAAGGAGGCACACATCGCCTGGCTCTCGAGAGGCTGTGGCTTGGGGAGGCTGCTGTGCTTACTGACAGTTTTCTCCTGTGCCTTTCTTCTGACTGTCCCATTCTGCATGCCTTAGAAGATCTCCCATCCTGGAGGCTGTTTTGAACTACTGGGGTTTGAAGACAATATCCAAGCCAGGTCCCTTCTTGCCACTCAGAAGACAACATTTAAAGGGATGACCAGGGGGAGAGGGAACCGGGAAGGAGTTCCCTGGTGTCATTCCCAGTGTGGTGGCTTTAGGAGTTTGATAGCAAGGCCTTTTAGACCTTAGCACAATGGTTTTGGTGACTAATACGTGTTCTAAATTCACAGTTAATTAAGCTTTCTTAGAACTGTGTGTGTGTGTGTATGTATGTATGCATTCAGGATTCAGGCCAGAGGTCAGATTTGGGTGTCATTCATCAGGTCCTGTCGAGTTTGTTTTTTGAAAAGGGGTGTCTCACTGCCCAGGAATTCACAGAGTAGGCTAAGCTGACCAGCCAGGATGTCACAGGTATCCATGGGTTTCTACCTCCTCAGTGCTAGAATTAGCTATAAGCAGGTTGCACCTCATCTATCTTTCTCTTTGGGGTTCTGGAAATTGAACTTGCAAGCATTACTGTCTTTTAGATTTGAAGCCCAAGGCTACATCAGAATCTCCCATTCACCTGGAGAATTTGTTTAAAATGCAGATTCTCAGGTGTCTCCAGAGGTCGGGAATGTGGCTTAGGGATGTGCGAGCCACACTCATCACAAACAAATCTAATACCAGTCTGACCCCACCACAAGAGACACTGCTGCTACAGCTAATATAATTCACTAAATCAGACAGCAATTTCCTTTCCAGCAATGGTAACTAACCACATTGGAACTGTGAATCCCCTGGAAAATCAGATGAAAATTATGAAACCTCTTCCTTAGAAGATCCACATGCTGAACCAATGTGACCTGTCAATCACTTAAGGGAAACGAAGGACTGAGGTCAAGGCTGCTTAGGCCCTGATTTTCAACAGCACTGTAATACGTGTCTTTCCCTAGCCAAAACATAACCGTGTTCCTTTTTTTTTTTCTCCAAGCCTAACTTCTCCAGGATTTAGCCCCAGTCTAATCCCTCAGCACCGTCTATAGGATTTCCTCGGCACCAATCTCCCCTGTGCAAGAGGACTCGAAAGGGGAAAAAAAAAATGCTAGAAAGTCCACATACTTGGACAATCCTGGCTGGCAGTCACAGCTGATCCTGACACTTGACTGGGCCTCCCAATGGCCCAGGAGGCCAATAGAAACTGATAGTGCTGGGCTGGTGTCTGGAGGAGCTAGTCCTAGGTGGGGCAAGGGGGCTCACACTCTCAGGGACTGCTGCTGCTGGCTGCCCACATCGTTCTTGAGACGCTCAGGCCCTGGAGAGGCGGCTATACATAACTGCTCTGGTGGGACTGCCATGTGTCCCCACTGAAGCACCTGTGGATATTTGTTGTTGTGATGATGTTGGAAGGTGGAGCCTTGAGGACTTGATCACCCAGAGGGCTTAACATACGGTCTGGGGATGTAACTCGGTAGTAGGTGCTCACTTTACAAAGAGCCCTGAAAAACAGAGGGGCTGTTAATGCCTTTCTCAAGAGACTAGACTAGTTACTCCAAGACTGGGTTGTTATAAAGTGAGGCCACCATGTGTGTTTGTTCATCTCGCTTCTGTACCAACCTGCTTGCCTTTCTGCTCTCTGTCATGGCTGAAGTAGGCCCATGCCATCACCATGTTTGCGGGTTCCCAGCCTACAGAATCATGAGTCAAAATCAGTTCCTTTCCTTATATGTCGTCTTCTCTCAGTTATTTTGTAACAGCGGCAGATAATGGACTAAGACAACACCCAAAAGAATGAATCAGCGAAGGAGGGGCGGTGGGGTAAGGGTCAAGGGTGCAAAACTGCCTTGTGCTGGTAAGCAGGACCACAGCAAGGTCTTTCAGGCCACGCTCACAGCTCAGGCGGTGCGGAGAGGCTGGTAGGGTGCCTAAATCTGAGCTGACCCTGCCCTGAAGCACCAATTTTCTTTCTCATTTCTCCTCTGCTGATCCACATTGTCTTTGCTCTTTTATTGATTAATTTTTAAATTTTTATTATTATTTTATTTTATGTGTATGGGTGTTCTGCTTGTATGTATGTCTGTGTACCATGTGAGTGTCTAGTGTCTGTGGAGGCCAGAAGAGGGTGTTGGATCCCCTGGAACTGGGGTTACAGAGAATTGTGAGCTACCATGTGAGTGCTGGGAATTGAACCTGGGTCCTCTGAAAGAGCAGCCATTACTCCTAACCTGCTGAGCCATCTCTCCAGTCCTATCTTTATTCTTTACATAAATTGTTTTAATTGTATTTATTAGTGTTGGGGGGGTGGGTCTGTGAATGCATGCCAGGGTCTACATATGGAGGTCAAAAGAAGAACTTGCAGTCCTCTCTTTTCACTACGCTGGTCTCAAGGGTAGAAAGCAAGCTGTCCAGTTCAGCAGTCAGCACACGGATCTGTGGAGCTATGTCACTGGGTCCTTTTTAATTCCTTTCTTCCCTCTGGCCTCTCTACTGCAGTAGCTTTTGAGTCTGGTTGTGAGTTAAAATCACATGTAGAGATTCCAGAATCTGCAGACTGAAAGCTCCTTCCAAGGATGCCTGCTGGGCTTACTCTTAATAATGGTCTAGCCTGGGAGCTTGTCCAAGTTCTGCAAGTGATTCTTGTGAGCAATTAAGATGGAGACCCACGCATACGTGTGTATTCAGAGTTACTTCATAGAAGTGGGCGGGCTTCTGGGTGGTTAAAACCCACAGACATTATTTGCAGCATGTGTGTGATACATCGGCATATTTTCCGAGAACAGAGATCCATAGTTTGCAGCAAAATTTTAAAGAAGTCCGTGACCCAAAATAGCTTAAGCAGTCCAGATGTGGGGCTATAATTATCCATCATCCATCATTGCAAGCAGTGCATATTGGTGCCACCTTAGAGAGCAGTGGTTCTCAACCTGTGGGTCATGACACCTTTTGGAATCAAACGACTCTTTCACAGGGGTCACATATCAGATATCCTGCAAAGCAGACATTTGCATTCGGATTTATAACAGTAGCAAAATTACAGTTATGAAGTAGCAATGAAAGTAATTTTATGGTTGTAGGTCCCCACACCATGAGGGACTGTGTTAAAGGGCTGTAGCGTTAGGAGGGGCAAGAAGCTCTGCCCTAGAGGATGGATGGTGGGTGGAACCAGTGGGCACAATGTTTAACCCTTTCAACCCAGCAACTCATTTCTAAGAATCAGGGCTGTATTCAGACATGTTCCAGAATGCTGTTGAACGCTTCTAGTTCAAAACTGCCAAACTGAATCTAATTTTGGAAGTGGATAGTGAACAAATAGTGTCTGATCCACTCAACAGAATGCCGACTGTAGATCGAATAATGTAGATTTGTAAGTACTGACTGGACTTGCCGCTAAGACTTTTGATGAAAAAAACTGAACTAACAAGACAGGGACAAACTTTGCAGATGTAAACATCTGTGTGGCGGGAGTAAGTGTGACCACCGGCAGTGGTGTCTGGGGAGAAGGCAGGCGAGGGCTCTAACAGGTCTGAGCATGGCAAGCATTGCAGACAGGTTTTGCCCTTTTACCCTTTTTCCTCTCCCTTGCTAAAGAAAGTTACATTCCTAAAGCTAGCCCCCAAGGTCTATTCCCTTATTTGGCCACTGACTCATTCCTGAGACCAAACACCAAGGTCCAACAATCAAAATTCATTATTTGGCCAATATGTCCAATCAGGATTCACCAGTTCACCACAGCACCCTTCTTAAAAACCCGTTCCTTCAGAAACACCCTCTCTGGTTCTCGCTCTTGCTCGTTTGCTCTCCTGCTTGCTTGATGTTGCTGCCACCCTTGCGGCCTCTCCCCCATGCCCTACTTGTCTCTCCAGGGTAATAAATCTCCTTTGAGCTGAGAGTTTGGTGCTGGGTATGTCCTGTTCCTATTCAGGGGATTGGGGTGGGGTGTACCCTTCAACATGTATTGAAAGACTTTAATTTCCCAGAAACTAAGCTTTGGTATTGTTTTAATTTTATATCCAAGAAACGTGATCCCTTCTTGCTTCATTAATTGGAGATGGGTGTTTGTCTATCACCCCTGAACCTGTCTCCATGGCTTTCCCTGCTTGGCTGAATAACCTACATCTCCAAAAAACTTGCTGGATTTTCCCAAGTCCTGTGTCTTTAACTAAGCATCCTTTAAATCAACCAAGCCTAAAACCCGAAATAATGATCTTAGTGTCCTTCTCTCCACTCAATGCTTCTGTTAAAGCACCTGTCACTCCCACAGCTCACAGACACTGAGAAGGGGCACGGTCTGTCACATAGTCAAGAATGGGTGTCTGGGACACCAGTCCCTATGCCAACCTAAGCCTGCCTCTCAGGAATCAGGCTAAGTGTCACTCACCCAGTTGAGAGAAGGAGGAACAATGGGTCCATGAAGGAGTTCAGCCATGATGCCTGTAGTGTGCACTCCAGCTGACAGCACTGGGGACTGGCCTCTAAGTGGACTCACTCTACGATTCTGACCTCGGGTTTCCGCTTCCATTATAGATCATGGCACCTGTATTGTCAATCATTCCTGACGAAATCTCTCTTGCTTACAACTAAGAAATGCTAATTCTTGCTTTACCCTCTGCCCACGTCCAGGCCGCATCTCAGACTCAAGCCACCATGCTTCTCATCTGTCAAAGATTTTAAACAGCCCCTGCTCCTCTGCCAGGTCCTTCCCAGGCTCCCTGCTCCACACGAGTACCACACCCTGCTTAA